GACGGTCAATCCCACTATTCGTTGGTAAAAGAGTAGCCCAAGAGTTGGCGGTGGGTGGTGATGACTAACTGCCTTCCCTCTAGTCTGTTAATTAGGGACGGCTAGCGCAGATAGCCCTCGTGTAGCTTTGCGCGAAATTCCAAAACAAACAAACCTTATTTTGACAATTTTGTGTTTGTTAGCCTTCCTTCCCTTCCCCCACACACGTACAATAATTTCGTAAACTATGATTTCATTACACTGCTTCTTGGACGTTGCGCTGGTTTAATTTAAACAACGACGAAGATCCGTGTATTGACTCGAATAACTATTAGCCAGTTATTCGAAATTTTTCACTTTCCCAAAGAATACTGGACTCGGTCTAATAACGTAGTTTTTAGGATATACAATCAAGTTTTTATTTTCCTTGATACAAGCATAACTACCCACTTTTTTAGATTCTGATTATAAAGTTAGCACACTGGATCACAAACAAAAGTTGTAATGGTTTTCAGAAGAATAGTGAACAATTCGAAGGCGCTCGAGTTTTGGATCTCGTTTGAAAACTATTACCCAGTTGTTTAGGTTACACAATCAACTTGTTTTTCTGATATCGGAATTTTGACTGACTCACTAACGAGACTACAAAGACTCCCAAAACTTCACTTAGTGTGCTATATATCTAACTCATAATCAAACTGATTCCAAAAACCAAACTTGAAAAAAAAACAAATCTTATTACATAACGTTATAAGATTTCACCAAACGACGCTAATGCATACAGTTTACACCAGAATTTTTACCAAACGACAGTGAATGCATAAAGGCTAAAGTACCCTCTCTCCAAAATCATTTATAAGACAGATAATGGTAATGCAAACATTTTCGACAAACAATAATATAATTCAGATTTACGTAAAAACAAAACATTATTTCAGTTGTTCACTACACCATAAAATAATAATAAAAACTGTGTAGACTAACATAACATTATCGCAATAACCTAGAATTATCTTACCAAATGCTCCACGAACGTTGTTTGTACATAACAGGTCCACGTACTTTGGTATGATGTCCACATTTACCTTTCTGGTTCGGCAAAAAAAAAAATATATATATATATATACAGCATATAACATAATATTAAAGAATAAAAGGAACCTTTTTGGTCCATCTAGGCTGTTTTATCCACTAAATTAAATTCAACATTACAAAACTCGGAGCTACCCCTTATTATTCAGATATTCGTAAAGTTCCCCTTAAACTCCATTAAATATTCTTAAAAGATCTTACGCTGTTACCAACTGTAATTTTTGTTTGTACTAAATAAATTATATAATATTTCTGTCCATAAGGTCTTAATTTCTATACATTTCTATTTGGTACTAATCCAACTTTCTATTCTCCATGCACAATAAAACTCACCCATTCTGGAAGAAAGCCGTAAAAGGGGCAGATAACAATCCTTCAAATCGTTTAATCTAAGAAACAAAACAAACAAACATAGATATAAAGACACACACATACAACCGTCTAATAACTAAATTTGTCTAACTTAGAGTCTGAGCAGTTTTCAAAATAATATAACTTAGAAGTATAATTTTCATCATATCAAGTGGTAATTATAGATACGTAATAAAAGCTAAATACAAAATATTAATTGTAACATTTGAAACAAATAATGTGGGAGAAATATATAGAAAAATATTTAGGAATGCATCATTCGAAATTATTTTGTTTGAATTATTCTAATTAGGATGACTTTTAAATTCACTTATTTTTAAGTAATAGATGTACAACTTGCCATCAAGCGTCAGCTAAATCAATTAGTACAGAGAATAAAATGAATATCCTACATATCGTAGATACTTGGCCTTTAAGTTTAATAAGCACATTGTAATATATATATATATATATATATGTAACTTCGTAATGTACTGTAGTGTGTTTCACGAAACTTCAAACTCAAAGCCTTTATATAGTATTGAACATACGAAGAAAATGAATAAAAAGCTAAAAACTTATTTGTATGTCACATATCTATAACATTATAAATTAAGGCTTCTTGAGAAGTTGTAAAGAAGGAAAAAATATACAGGCTTGCCTGAAACAAACAATATTATTGCACACTTACCATTTCAATTTGTTCGTTCATACTGGAAACAATGATACAAAATTACTGCTGACCTTATACCACACAAATATCTGGTATCACTACTAAACGTTTTCTACAACACTTAATCTGTTTGCAAGTTTTGTGACCTTGAAAGTAGACTTTAGCTTCATCACAAGGATACAGGGAGCAACTATTAACATATATAGGGCTGCAGAGTTGGAGGATTCATATGCAGTCTTGTAAATAACTTATATGAAGCATTAAGCTATTTTGTAGGTATTTGCAAGATTGTTTTGAACTCTTTTTTTTGCAGTGTAATATTGCTATTCATATATTGAACGTATATATGATTAATGTTTTATGATTCAGACAGACAAAACATTAATGATTGCTATATTTAACTTAACAAACCACATTATAAAATAAGTTCAAAAACTAACACTATTATATGTAATGCACCGGTATTTTCATTTACTCTAGTTACATAATAATACCATATCATAATTGTATGATCGGCGTTTGGATTTATTGTCATTTAAAGAGCAGCCAAAGAAATGTTCCAACTGATCTTTCAGTTACGAGAAAAACTGTTTCAACTTAGTAAGAAGTAATGATTTTAGTGTCATGTTTTTATTTCTTCTGACCATACCCATAGCAGGTTCAATATTGTATGGCTATATCATTCTACCACTACCACTGACGTATTTACAAAGATCACGATAAATGATCTTTGGATCCAATCGCAAAGCCTTCTGGATTTTGTAAACCACATAACTGAATATTTTCAGTACAGCATATGACCCTTCCCAGCACTTGCGTAACTTCAGAGTTCGTCCTTTCTGGCTACAGGGATTACACAGCCATACTATGTCAATTCGATAGAAACCAATCTTATCAGCATTAACATTATAGCGATTTTTCATTTTATCACGAGCTGATTTTACTCTTTTTCAAGTAAAGTCATTTATGCCATTGGTGGTGTTCTTTAATCTCTTTGCGTATCCTTGTAAAACTCTTCTGGGTGACTGTTCTCCAGACAAGAATACAGAAGGTCTAATGGAATTTTCACTTCTCTCAGAAACATAAGTCATGATGGTATTATGTTACCAGTAGCTTCGTGTATTGCATTATGAAAATTCATCAGTAATAATGGAAGGTCGTGATCCTATGTTTGTTTTTTATATATATTCATCCATTTACATGTGATTTGACTTGACAGTGTATAGATGTATCTCTACATCAAGCCATCAGACTATGGATGAAGGGCTGTTGTCCTGTTCTTTTTAATTTCAAGGATACAACACATTTCTGCAAACACGTCTGGCTCAAAATTCCGTCCATAATCTGAGTAAAGTTCCATGGTCACACCCCATATCGTGAAATGTATTCGTTATCGATTTTATTTACAAGAGTTTCTGCTTCATGGTTAGAAATAGCATATACTTTTGACCAATTGGTAAAATAATCCACCACAACAGTGATGTATCTATTTCTACTGTTACTGTATGAAAGAGGACCAAGGACATCAATAGCAACTTTCTCCAGTGGTGTTCCAGTACAATACTACTGTAGCTGACAATGATGCTTCTGTTATGGATCTTACCACTGACAGCAGAGTTCACTTTTATTACACCAGTTCGTCACAGAATAATAAGTCATCTTGTAAACATAAGAAATCCTAGCGTGTTCAGTCCATCTTTGTTTTCGGGCTGTACAAGGTGATTGTTTATAATGAAGGTTTTTCTGTAATATTCTTCAATCATTGAATAATTGATTTCAAACTCGTATCGCTTGCCTGGGCAGCTTATAGTTGAGTGTTGGACTACAGCAGTTCTTCATCATCATTCATTGATGTCACATCTTTGCTGTACTTTAGGTTGGTCATCTTTTCTGTCATGTGCCACCATCTTCATACAGTGTTTACATCACTTATTAAGAAGTGGCCAATACACCCAAGTGTAGCAAGAGAAGAAATATACTTATAAATCAATACCATTTGTAGGTATTATTAGTGAAAAATTAATTAGATGAGAGTACAAATTAAGCAAAAAAAAAAAAAACTCAAATGAAACGTCAAACTAAAATCGTAAGTAAACCTGGAATTAACATTAAAAGTTTTTACCGAAGATATATATTAACGAAAAATATGGCAACGACACAGTGTATAAAATATAATGTTTAAACTTCGAAAGTTTCAACTTAGGAGAAACAGGTATGAAAATAACGACCAGATGCCAGGAACATGAAAAACGAAAAGAGTCAAACGTAAATGAGCATATGATTTAAAAATAACATGAAATAAACTTTAAAATATTAAAGTATTTAATACAGAGAAAACTTCAAACAAAAAAAGAAAAAATCTGGAATCACAAAGTCAAAGAATTAATAGCTAACATTAATAAAGCAGCAGGAGCACCATTACATTTGTATTAAGTTAATTACGTTTAGAACCAGAAGGAGCTTGTATCATTAGCCAAATAATATGATTGGATGTATTTGCAATTTGAACGTACTTATACCTTAAATGTTGTATGTGATCATGTCTCTCTGTTAGAGAAGAAATGTTGTGCAGAAATAAATCTATTACCCCACAAATAGCTGTTTCAAAACTTTCTTTTTGTTCGCAAATTAAGTATATACCTCTTAAAAAGTAAGTAAACACACCTAGTAGAAGTATTGATTGTGATCTGGTCTGTGCAAGTACACACATTGAGTTTGTTCAATTTGTTTTAAGTTTCGCGCAAAGCTACTCGAGAGCTATCTGTGCTAACCGTTCCTAATTTAGCAGTGATAGACTACGAGGAAAGCAGCTAGTCAACATCACCTATCGTCAACTCTTGGCTACACTTAACAGTCACATTATAACGCCTCCACGGTTGAAAGGGTGAGCATTTTTAGTGACGGGGATTAAAACCTGCTACTCACAGATTGTGAATCGATGGTTCTAAAAACCATCCCATGCCAGGCCTACATTGAGTTTTCTTTGTTGTATTGTAGAAATAAAGATTTTGTTCATTCCATCCCATTTGTCCAGTCTCCTTATTTCGCATACACTTATGCTATTAAATACAGTACTCCAATATTTCCTTGTCGAATCTACTTTGACTATCGAATCTAACTGTCTTATACTTGTAGAGAAATCAATTCATACTACATTCTTTTAATTTTCAGTCTCTTTCTTCTTGATCTTCTTTTGATGATCTGTTCTTTTTTTTTTTTTTGTCAAATCAAGGGTTCGATTCCCCACACTGGATAGCGTGCTGATATCTTATTGTGTAGCTTTGCACTACGAAAACAACAACAATTGTTTTTTTTTTTCTGCTTGTTCTTCTTTCCACTATTTCGTTATATCCAGCAAATTTTCGATCTACTTCATACTCGTGTTGTCATCTTGATGTTTAGTCAAAGCTATTTTTCACTTTCACCAATATAATCCTATTTTTGACATTATTGCCGTAACATATTCTATCATCGGGGGGGGGGGGAAATAACACGATATACAGTTAACATAACGATAATACATTTAACTTATTCTTTCAATAACGCTTGCTAAGGCTACTATCATTGGTAGGCCTAACTTCACAAATAACCTTAGACGAGAAGTTCCTAGGCTGGTTGTATTAATGCCCAACTCACAAATAAACTTATTTGCAGAAGTTCCTCGCTAATCTATTGATAACAATCACGCTGACTGACTAAATTATTACTTGATCGTTTAGAAATAGACACTTCTTAACTCTTTCATTAAAACTGGACTGCTTAACTGATTAACTGTATACTAAGTGTGACATTTTATGTTGTACTCGTTTTCTATTTACTACAGGTATCTTCTAGATGTTGCACTGACAGCACTGTCATTATATCATGGCAAACTCTGACTAGCAAAGAAACACCTAAATTTAAAACATTAAAAATGTTGCTTACAACAGTATATACATTTTTATATGTACAAGATTGTCCAATCAGTTGAAAGTAAGCATTATATGTACATTCGTTACTTTATAGTAATTTGGTGTGCGTTGGAATTTTGTTGTTGCATTTTGTAGAGGGCCTGCTCAGTGCATGATTTCATTCATTTAAACTAAGTGGTCCCCCAGAGGGACAGCGGTAAGTCTTGGGATTTATAATGCTAAAATCAGGGGTTCGATTCCCCTCGGTGGACACAGCAGATAGCACGATGTGGCTTTGCTATAAGAAAACACACAAACATACACTTAAACTAAGTTAAAGTAGATCAGTCATAAAGGTTGCAAGTGTGTTATGTTAAAACAAAACCTTTTCTGAAAAGACCTATAACGTGTTAATTTGTGCTGTGTGGATATTTCACAATTCTGTACTGACATAAGATTTATTTATTTTCTTGTTTTCTGCGATCACATTGAAGTGTAGTAGTAGTAAATATGAATTAACTGATTCAGATTATCTTTTCCAAAACATGTTTTCCCTCCTCTTCTAAATAAGTGCGCACCGTAGGAACCGTAGCGCACATGCTGCTGCCGGGTTTCTAGAAATTATCGGCTAGGTCCACGATTTTTATCACGAAGCTCCTTTGAGATTAAAAATAAAATACAATTTTAAACTGTTATAAATTGAAAGAGTGCTTATGTTAGGGTTTAAGAACCCAACGAAAACTACTCTCCTTTAATAACCTGCCCTCATTGAAAGTTAGTCATTTTGTTCTATTCCGTTGCGCTTCTTATGCACCCCCTGTGGCTCAGCGGCATGTCTGCAGATGTACAACGCTAAAAACCAGGTTTCGATACTCGTGGTGGGCACAGCACAGATAGCCCACTGTGTAGCTTTGTGCTCAACTGCAAACAAACAAACAAGCAATGTTTCTGTTAAAACATCATCAACGTCATCTAGATGAGCAACGCTTTTGACTCTTCGTGATTCTGTGGACTTTCCTTTCATCTGGCATAATTAGTCTATTCTTTGATCTAATTAATATATTATTGTAACTGTAAAATTTCATGAAATATATAACTGGCTTACGATGTTCTGCGCATATTAATATTGTTACGTCTCCGTTTGTTAATTAACTTTCCGTAACTTCGTTCCGACGAAACTTAAGCGACACAAGTTCTTTCTTAATAAAACTGGTTTATTATTTCCGAATATAACTTTACCAATACACTCAACTTCAACAATCGCGCTAGACAAACGCTGTAACGTCTCTCGTGCTCTCTAACTGCAGTTCAATTACTCACTATCTACCCAGACATTACATTCCCCCTTTAATATACCAGCCTACCCTATATCTAGTAAGAACTAGAACATTCGCCAAAGTACATGATAGTTCT